CATATCAGACTTGATATAGCATATGTAGTTAGTCTAGTGAGACAGTACATGCATGATTTCGTGAGACTCATTTACATGCTGTCTTCTGCATATTACGATACCTGAAGTCTGCACCAAGAAAATGTCTACTCTTTTCTAAGTATGGTCTCCTTAAAATAAAAGTATTTACAGATGCCGATCGGATTAGATCTTTAGATGATAGAAGATCAACAACAGATTACTACACACTTTTAGGAAGCAATTTGGTCACATAAAAAAGTAAGAAACAAAGTGTAATTACTCGCTCTAGTATAGAAGCAAAGTATAGAGCAATGACCCAAAAAGTTTGTGAATTATTATGGTTGCAAAAGATAATGAAGGAGCTAAAACTGTTTAAAGAGGAGAGACTATCTATGTTTTGTGACAATAAAATAACCATTAATATTGCTCATAATCCAGTTCAATATGACAGATCAAAACACATTGAAATTGATCGACATTTCATAAAAAAGAAGGTAGTTGGTGACTCTCTATACTTATATCACGTATCTTTTGGTGACCAGATAGTTGATATTTTCATTAACGGATTATGCAATAAATTCATCAAGAACTTGGTTTGCAAGTTGGATATGTGTGATATTTTTGCACCAACTTGACAAAGAATGTTGATTATAGTTAGAGTTCTAATAGTAAACATATATCATGTAATTAGAATTTGTTAAAATAAGGATAATTACTATATAAATATCTCATAAGTGTAAACACAAAGGATATAAGAAATAAAAATTGGAAATTTATTTTCTCCAAACTCTTCATCTTACTGTAAACTCAAATTTTATTTTCCAAGCTCTCTTGAAGTATTTAAAAATCACACAATTGAATATGTAGAGTTTTATCTTCTGTTTAACTTGAAATATACAAATATTTATGACTTGATTCTACAAAAAGAATGTATGTAAACAACTTGGGCGTACTACTTTAAATTCAGTTAAATTTAAACCATTTAATTTTATTAGACTTCATGGATTGAGCTTAAACACATGACTTGTTAATTATTGTTTTGATTTATGCCATGTATACAATAACGTACATGACCTATATATATTATGCCTCCTCGGTAATTTTAAGCATTCTATAAACTCTGGTCGTGTTCCAAAGTTGATCACCTGTGAAGGAGAGAACTTCATTATGATTTTCTTTTTCTTCTCTCATTTTCGTTAAAAAATATTTGATTACTTCTTACAAAAGGAATTCTTTTTTTTTTTACTTTGAATTTGCTGTCCTTCCTGTGCTGATTTTTGAGGAAAATGATTGTTCTTTTCTTGGTTTTACTTTTCTTTCCTTCTTTCTTTACTTTGTTTCCTTCCTTCTCGAGGAGATTTTTTTTCTTTGATTTTTGAGCTCAATGGGAAAGAGGCACATTAAATACCTATTATCACTTACAGCATATTGAAGTGGTCTTTTAGGCGAGTAGATGATGTTCGCATAATTATTGCCAAGAAGAGGTAAAACATTCTTTTTGCTTTTCATAATTATTTAACAAAGCATTTGTTTCTTTTTTTTATTTCATAATTTGTTTCTTTCTTTTGTCAAAGGAATTAACTGATACCAACAGATTTTATATAATTAATTAATAGATATTAAGGAGTTAATCAGCATGTTTATTACAATTATGACAGCAGATTTTATGCAATTAATCAACATATATAGTAACATATTTTATACAATTAATCAGCAGATTTGAGACAATTATGACAATAAATTATTTTAAAAAATAATTTAATTGCTAATATGTGGTACATAATCTATGTATTACTCGTTGGTCATGGGGGACATTGTGATAGTGAATGATGCATTTTTTTGGTAGATTTTGAATTTTACTGGAAAACTTTTTTTCTTTTTTTACTTCCTTTCTTCTTTTCTTCATTCATTCTTTCGTTATTTTAACTTGCAATAATACATGCATTTATTTGCTCAACTGACAATGAAGATTCACTAATAATATGGAAGTATATTATAAAGTTTTATAATAAATTATAATGCATTTATTTGCTCTTTGAGATAGGTCTAAAGAAATGGATGGTGTTGGCAAAACTATTGCCAAGAAGAAGTTCATTTTCCTCTTCATATGTCACCTGTGCAATCTATATGCCACGTAACCTATATATTGCTCATAAGTTATGCAATACTCGTTGATAGCTATTATGCATTCTAGAGGTAGAATCCGAGCTTTGGTAGGAAATTTTCTTTTTTCTTTCTTTTATTTTCTTTGCTTTCTTTCTTTCCTTCTTCATTTCAATTTTGTAGTAAAATGTATATTTATAAATCTGAGCTTCCTTGGAAAAGTTCACAAATGGGAAATAGGTGCCTTGTTAAGTTTTATGGTCACATATAGCACATTGAAGTGGTCTTTTAAGTAAGCTAAGGGAAGGAGATGATTTCGGCATAGTTGGTGTCAAGAAGAGGTAAAACATCCATTTTAATTTCGTAGTTATTGAACAACAAATTTGTTATTTGTTTTGTATGTGATTATGTATTTCTCTTAAGTTATGGAACATTCACTGAGAGTTAATAATGCGTTAAAGGTAGAATCTATACTTTAAGAAAAAAGTTATTTTTTTCTTGTTTCTCATGTAAATTTACAGTGACATGTCCATTTGGTAACTTATAAAGTTTATGATCATTTATATCAAATTCATGTGGTCGGTTATGCAATTTAAGGGAGAGAGAGGATCTTGGTAGAATCATTGTCTTGATAGTCAAGAAAGTCATGCTTTTAACTTCATTCTATCCGTTTTTCTTTAATTTCAAACAAACTTTCTTTCTCTTGGGTTACACTTTGTTCTGCTCTAGCAATGACTTCGTTTCTAGAAGACAAACCCAAACACTCTGTCAACGTTAATAAATAAGGCTAGACATCAACATTACTTTATTTATTTTCTTCTTCATTTCTTTAATGTTGCAGTAATGAATAAAGTAACCTATTGCTTATTTTAGAGAAAGTCTAAAAGGGGTAGCCATGAGCTATCCAACATTATGGTAAAGAGTTTTATGCACTTGTGAGGGCCTTAGAAACTTGGCAAAACTACATCTGGCTCAAAAATTTTGTCATTCATACGGATCATGAATCTTTGAAGCATCTTAATGGTCATAGTAAGTTGAACAAAAAGTATGCTAGATGGTTGGAATTTGACGAAACTTTCCCATATGTCATTAAAAGGTAAAAAGAATGTAGTCATAGATGTTTTAGCCCGAAGGTATATTCTTTTTACTTATCTAGATGTAAGGTTGTTTGGGTTTGACCTTGTTAAGGAATTATATGCCAATGATTGTGACTTAGGTGATGTGTTCATTGCTTGTGGACATGGAGCATTTGGTAAATTTTATAGAGTTGATGGATACTTGTATTAAATAAAATAAGTTGTGTTTACCTCAATACTCTATGCGTGAATTGCTTATAAAAGAATCACATGTGGGGGAGTAAATAGGACATTTTGGGGAGTAAATAGGAATGGGTTATAGCTTTGTACTCGGACTCTACATTGGATCGAGACACAACTGATTACTTCTTGCTTCTCTATGATACCAGGTTCTTACAAAAAAAAATGCAATAACTCATAATGAACCTTCTATCAATTTTAGATCCAACTCGATCAACATCCACAAAGCATTCAATATGAGAGACGTGATGTAGAATAGATCTGTGAGAGATGCCACTTGTAAAAAGGCTAAATCTAGGGTCTTATCTCATAGGCTTACGCTCCTTTACCTATACTTGGTCAGGAAAATTTTGACATATTAATGGACTTCATTTTGGGGCTACTAAAATTAAAGAAAGATAAGGATTGAATATTTGATTATTTATTGCATATTCAGTTTGGACGGTATTCCTTGTTAAGAAATGTACTAATACTTATTACATATTAGTATGATCTCTTTTACGTAAACCAAGAGACAGAGATGTGTAAAGGAATTATTGTCAAGGAGAGGTAATGATTCAACTTTTGTTTCTTCTTTTTAGTTCTACGCATTCGCTATTTGAATGCGGTAAAATCTATGATATTTATTATAGATAACATAATATATATATATGTTAAATGATTTGGTTCTTTGATTCAGTTTCCTATTCATAGCTATTAATTGATATATTTGCTAATCAAACTTGCAAAACCTATGTATCCCTAAGAGCAACAAGTGATGCATGTAGAGGTAAAAAATTTTGCAAACTAACTCAATACAAATCTTACTAATTCTTGGTTAGGTGTTCTTTGACTATTTCCTATCTTAATAAATTTTTAACCTTTGTGTTCTAAGATAAATATTGGATTAGAAGTGGTTTGACTAACTCGTCTTTATGGTGTTGAAGGTTATACTGCATAGCCCCATATAGAATCACAATACAATTCACAACTATCACAGATCCCCCAACTCATCCCTTAGGTTCACTGTGTAACTCGTGTAGATCCCTCGACCACACTTAGCTTGGCACATTATAGGTGGGAGTCGAGGCGATGCACATTTCAAATCCCAATACCACAGTTCATTAAAACATCACATGCTTTACTCAAAATCATCATCAATAATGTACAACAAATCTATGTATAGATATATTGAAAATACATCAAAAACTACGTATGTCATGATATCATAATGCCTATGTATATCGAGTCCAGTGCAATCATTTTAACCTTTCTTTGTTCCAATGGAGTCTCCCTTATATTTTTCTCAATTTTCTCTGGTCACTTTTATAGTGTTTTGCCTTATAAATATTTCAATTTTCTCTTTTCATTGGGCAGAGTCTTCCCTTAGATTTTTTCAATTTTCTACCGAAATTTTAGCATCATCTTTCCTTTAATTTATCATTGTTTTATACTAAAAAACATCCCAATGATAAGTAAATTAATTCCCTTGAAAAGAAACTTGAAATTACATATTTTGTAAAACACACTATTTTAACTCCGACAGAGTTCAGACTTAATTTCTAAATTTTTTCTTTCGAAAATCCGATAGATGTCTCAGGATATTTTTGAGCCATTTCTAATTTCAAAAATATCTTTCACATCATTCAAGATTTATCATCAAACTTTTAAAAGAAACAAAATTCAAATGAAGGAGAAAGCTTACCTTCAGCCCGCAGGTTCTCCCTTGGTTGGCCGTGAGCTTTCGTTCTCATTTTTCTCTTCTTTTTTTGGTTTTCTTCTTTCCTTCTTGCTTCCTCTATGTTCTGCTAAAATATTTGGGCAAAGTTTCCTCAAGGAAGAATTTTCAAATTCCCTCAGTCTCCCTCACCTTTCTTGGGCATACACCATTTTTCTCTCATTTTTCTCTTTTATCTCTCTTTCTCTCTTCTTTCTCTCTCTAGCTTTGCTCTCCTTTTCTCCAGATGCTTCTGCCCGTCCCCGACCCCTATTTATAGTGGAGGAGAGCTGGAATAGGTGGCAATAAAGAGATGAGGTGGCAAGCCAAGAGCTTGGCACCTTACATCACCATGACACCTCATGCTTTCATCCTTATCTCTTCGTTCCTTAGCCTTTAAGTAATTATAGAGAATTCTAATCTTATCCAAACTCTTCCCACCACCTCCACCTCCTTCCAGGAGCTTTCATACCAAATTTGGGCTCCATTCAAGGTGTTTTGGGCTCCCTAGGCCCACCTAAACCCATACGCCCCAAAACTGCAATTCATGCTCATGTTTTCACTTTAAACGGTTATAACTCCCTTGACTCTTATGTGTTTTTGGTCCATTTTACCTTTACTTGCTCGTCGTAGTTTCAGCTACTTACTGACCAAATTTGGACTCAAAATGATCGCATTTGGCTGATCTAAGGTTCACCTAAGTCCCAAAAGGTCTTAACTGCAAGCAAAGTTAGGCCCATGCCCATGCCCATGCCCATTCCCTTACTTCAAAACCCCATAATTTACTTAGTTCTTAATCTTTTTGCACAACTTGTGCTTCACGTGTTCTTCAAGGAGGTAGCTATCATATGGTTTTGGTTTGGACTTGATCTGGGTCCATTTGGCCCACTTATGGCCCAACCCAAAGGTCAAAATTATCCTTCATGTGCATGCCTTTCTGGTATTGCCTCATTTCTCCTAATTTTTTTCTATGGACTTTTTTTTTACACACTTCTTCCTCAATGTCTTGGCTAGTTCTCAGCCAAATTTGAGCCACAAATTTCAAGTAGTTTAGTCTCGAAACGCAAGTCAAGCTAAAAGGGTTAATGTAACGTTTTCTCAGTAACTATTGCACTAAGGCTTCGGTTCCTTGAATTTTTCTCTTAATTTTTCTTCTATACAAGTCTTTCTTTTCTTACTAATTTCTTTTTCCATATGTTATCTAATGTTTCTTCAAATCTCATCCCCAAATTCCATCGATCTTTGGCTTAGGAAGTGCTTCAAGCACTAAAGGTCAATTTATGTTACTCAGGGGATTTTTCTTCCTCTCTCGGGGGATTTTCTCCCTCTTTTGGGAATTTTTCTCCTAATTGTTAATTCAATTATTCCCTCATGTTTCAAAAGTATTTTTTTGCATTCTAAAATGTCACTCTAGTCTCGAGAAGCATTTCTAAGCCTAGAAAACTCAGTTTCTTCGGGAGAAAGTTATCTTTCTAAGGGGTTCCTTTCACCTTAATTTCATCGTTTTCACTATGTTTGACTCGAAACTTCATCCTTAATCTTATTTCATCTTCTTTCATATGTATACACTCTTAACCAACAATAACAAACACAAGAATTCAAACTGAGAAAAATACAAGCTATTACAAAAAGAAGTAAAGTTCTATCTTTCATTTCTTTTGAAATATAGAAGTCTTTGAAAGGTACTATATCTTCAATTTCTCTTTCATCTAAATTCGACAAAACAGGAAAGTGTTGCGTTTCGTTTTTAATTTTCTTGAAATTCAATACTTTATTATCCACGAAATCTTATAAAAAATATAATGGATGGAGCAGACCTACGTATCATTTGATCTTCAAAAAGAAAATATGTAAGTAGCTTGAAATACTTTTCGAAATCCAGTCCAATCTAAGCATTTCAATTTTTTATTAGAGTTTACGGATTGAACAGAATTACATATAACTGATCTCAAAAGGAGGTACATAGTCAAGTTGGAGTGCTAATCGAAGTCTAGTTAAATTTAAGCATTTCAATTTTTTATTTGAATTCACAGATTGAGCAAAACTATATGACTTGATTTTAAAAAAGAAAGTATGTAGGTAACTTGGAGTACTTCCCAAGTCCATTCAAATTTAAAGATTTCGAATTTCTATTAGAGTTCACATATTGAGCAGAAGTACATATGAATTGATCTTCAAAAACAAGGTACGTAGGCAGAACTATGTAGGAATTAATCGCTATTGCATTTCTAGTAAATTGAATATGAAACACAGTGCTTTTGGATTCTGTCAGATTTCAAGATGAAAGAGAAATCGAAAACATAACAGCTTTTAATGACTTCCGTATTTCAAAGGAAATTTGAAAGATGAAATTCTAAATATTTTAATCACTCGTATAATTTTTGATTATTTCATAAGAAATTAGTTAATGAATAAAGTTTACAATAAAAAAATTATGGTTTGTTTTCGGTTAGTTTTCATTGAGTTTTCACTGACAGAGATATAGATCAAGTTAAAAATAAATTTAAAAGTAACTTACCTCCGGGGTTCTAATATTGACATTTCTTACCTCAACATGGGTCGCATCATTATTAAGGCCGATGCAATATCTGAAGACTATTAGTGATAGATACAGGCATTACCTATAAATAGTCAGTTATCATAAACTTTTCATTTCTTCTTACAACCTCTTCCACATCCTCATTTTCATTTTCATAATAATTAACATATATCTCTGTCCATGCACAAATGGAGTTCTTCACAGAGCTAGTCAGTCTAAAACCCTCTTGATTGGAGCAAGAGCCTCTTGGGCATACAAAGTGCTTCTTGGGCTCTCTTGTGTAAGCGTTTATGACTAATTTCTGCATTGGGTTTTCATAAGCACTTCTTTTTTTCTTTTGAAATCATTCATAAGCGCTTCTTGGAGTAAGCAACTTGGCCTTGCAAGCTGGTGTGCAGAAATGTTGCTAATCAGGACTCAGCACTCCTGTACAAGCCATCCATTGAATTCCTTCCTGATTTCTTGTGACTGTGTCTTATCATACAACCTACAGGCAGGATAAGAAAACTAAGCAAGATGTCAACAAAATCTTTACTGGATTCTGCGAGGAGGCCTGGTTTCTCTGCTTGTCCACTAGTATTTTCAAGCTTTTGTACCCTTCACTGACCACAACTTGCTTATGTCCCTGCAGGAGGAACCTTGAAAAGCACCAAATCATACGGAAAATCATACTGAAGTTTAGAGAAATAAATCGCTTGCCGGATAGAAATTTTCCTGAAGATTGTTTCTGGCTTAGTGCAGACAGGATCTGATCTACAGCAAGAGGGAGATGAACAAAACCAAGGCAAAATGATGGAAGTAAGGCAGAAAAAAGTTCTACCAGAGAAAAGCAGTCCATTTTGGTGAACAATTGAAGGCTGCAATATTTCGGTTGTTCGGTTATACTGCATAAATGTTGTATAAAAAAACTAGATAAAAAGATACAGCAAGCAGTTTTGATTCGAAAATTACTAGGCCAATGGTGCTAAATCATGACACATTATAAGTTACAGACATCCTGTGATCTAGTCCAGTATTGAACATGGAAGCTATAATGTTATTTTTCAAA